AATTAATGTAGCCTAATTGTTTGCAATTACAAGGTTAACGGGTGTTTTTGGAGTAAAATCAATTTATCTTTCATGAGATTACTTCCTCTTTTTGGCCGGGTTTCGTTTCTCCGTGTCGTAAACTCTAGGGGCGAGGCTTCTAAACCAGGGTGTTTTTAGGGGCATGATATTCAAATGACGACTGTTTTCTGCCGCCACATTTATCAATGCGCGATCATTCGTACGATGAGATTGGCGGCATACGAATGTTTCATGAATCACACGTGGACTCTGTCGTAAGTTGATTTGTGCGCACGGATCTGCGCTCGTTTCTACGTTAGATTGATAAATGAGGCCCATTGTACCTAAAAGAATGACAGTAAACCACAAAACATACCATGAGGAGGTTTGGGAACCTGCACTGTCAGAATTGGAAAACAGACCAGCCAGGAACTGCTGGACAATCCTTAATTAAAGAAGCAAAGACAGCATTGTTGCATTAATAATTCAAAAAATAAAGGAATAAATTCTACAAAAGAAAAATTCAGAGACATGGGCATCTATTTGCACAAATTTAAAAGCATTAATGACTGATAATGATTAAATGACTAAAATTGTGGAATCAGGATTAATTCAGAACTTTTAATCGATCAGATTTTCCTTTCATGAAAAAACTTGGATATATATAGATAGATAGATAGATAGATAGATAGATATTATAATTTATTATTATTATTATTATTTTACATATACCATTCAAAAGTTTTGGGTAAGATTTTTGAAAACATATTTTAAGGGTTCATTCATTTGATCAAAAATACAGTAAAAACAGTAATATTGTGAAATATCATTTCTATTTAAAATAACTGTTTTCTATTTTTATATATATTTTAAAATGTAATTTATTCCTGTGATGGTAAAGCTGAATTTTCAGCAGCCATTACTCCAGTCTTTAGAGTCACAGAATCTATTTCTTCTTATTATCAATGTCAAAAACAGTTTCGCTGTTTAATATGATTTGTGTAAAAGATGATCCATCTTTTGGACCAGATACATTACTAGATAAAAGTTACTAACTAATAGCTAACGCTTATGAGACAAGAGGTGGTCTTCCTCAAGGGGGAACATTCAAATCTTAAAACTTTGTTTTATTAGAAGCATTTGTATGTGTAAAAGTAATCAGTAATGAAGAATTCTTTTTAAAATGTTAGACAATTCATTGATTAAAATGAGTGGATTCCCTGGCTGATACAATTAAAACATTTTGAGGAATATTTTAGTCTCCTTTCTCATCATATTTTCAAGGTGCTTAAAATAGTCAAGACTGATTATTTTTATTATTTTTTTTTTTTGTTAGCAGGATACTGTGCTAAATTTTAAATTAGTCAAATTAGTCAAGTCAAATCGCAATACAAAGTAAAAAAACATGGATATACTAAATATATTATGAGTGTTGCAACTGTAAGATGTCAACAGATTCTCTCAGTAAAAGAAAGTATATATTTATGAATAAACCATTTTCATGGCAGAACTGAATGTTAACATTTAAATACAGATATTCGGTCTTTCAGAACTCCTAGTAGACAGCAGCTGTAACAAGTGGCCATACACACCCCTCCACAGCCTGTCCCTGATCCAGTCTAGAGTTACGCTGCTGGCTGTTTTGAGTGAGGAGCACAGGCTCTGTGCAGTCTGATAACGTCTCCACGGACGCTACCGTTCCCGCTGTCCCAGGGGCAGGATCACCAACTGCTGCCTGGACCCCTGAGCGGCTGTGGAGCGCATCTGTGATGGTGGGGGCGGAGAGGAGCGCTGAATGTTCCATGAAGAGCAGCTGCCACAGCTAATGGAAAAGGAAAAGACAAAAGGCTCATAGAGAAATAAAACCACGACTGACCCCCCTTAAGGAATCGTTTCCTTTTATATACTGTATATATATTGTAATTACAAATAATAACACATTTTAAAGTAGAAAGGCTTAAATACTATTAGAGTTATTTTAGCATATTATAGATTTTTTTAAATATTTTGAATTAGATTTTATTTTCATTTAAATTTAATTTTTTTTGTAAGTCTGTTATGTGCTCCTGTCATTTTGATTAATTTTAGTTTTATAAAATATTACTATTTCGATTTAATTCATTTTTATTTTAGTTTTTACTTTAAAAATGTATTTCCACTTTTTATTAATTAATTTGATTGCTTTTATTGTTTGGCAAGGCAACATTTTCCCCCCAAAAATTCCAAAAACATTTTCTAAATTTTTTTTAAATAGTTTTAGTTAATGATATACAGGTGCATCTCAAAAAATTAGAATATCGTGAAAAAGTAACATTTCAAAAAGTGAAACTTTCATATATTCTAGATTCATTACATGTAAAGTACAACATTTCAAAAGTTTTTTTGTTTTAATTTTGATGATTAGAGCTTTCAGATCATGAAAGTCAAAAATCCAGTATCTCAAAATATTAGAATATTTACATTTGAGTTTCATTAAATGATAATCCCTACCGTAACACCCCTAAGTGAAAATGTCCAAATTGGGCCCAATTAGCCATTTTCTCTCCCCGGTGTCATGTGACTCATTAGTGTTACAAGGTCTCAGGTGTGAATGGGGAGCAGGTGTGTTAAATTTGGTGTTATCGCTCTCACTCTCTCATACTGGTCACTGGAAGTTCAACATGGCACCTCATGGCAAAGAACTCTCTGAGGATCTGAAAAAAAGAATTGTTGCGATATTGAAAAGTCAATTTTTTATTTTACGAAAAATGCGATATCCGCTGAGTTATTCTGTCATGTTTTCTCCCTTTTTTTCCAAACCGCGACAAAAGTGGGCAGAACCTCCAAAATGGGGCGGGGTCTCCTCGCGCAAAGACTTTCACCATTGGCTCTGGCTCCAGCCAATTGTTATTGACTTACATTTCAAAATAAAATTTTATAAATTAAACATTGTTTCTAGTTCATCTAAAATAAAATATGCTATATAA